GGAGAGGGAGCGGGCGGTGAAGCACAGCGGGGTGGCCCCGGCGGCAGGCGATGCCCGGCTGCCCAAGCTGGTGGCGGCGCAGAAGGCGCCCGCCGCGCCGGCGGTCGAGCAGCTCTGCCGAAACCCCAACGGCCGAGCACCCAAGGGGAAGCTGGGCGGCGGGAAGAAGCTCTCTACCGACGGCTGCCAGGGCGAGGCCTGCGCGCCAGCCCCGGGGGCCCAGCCCAGCTCCACCATGGCAGCCAAGAGCCTGGGGCTCCTACCCAAGAAGAGGAACCGCAAGGGCAAAGCGGCGGCGCTGGGCATGGCCAAGGCGCCCCTTGGCCCCGCGCCGCCGCTGCTGCCCCGGGAGCGGGCGGCGGGACCAGGAGGCGAGGAGGAGGCTCCATGGGAGGGCAAGAAACCAAAGAGCGAGGAGAAGGAGGCGGGGGGCGGTGAGGGTCCCCCCGAGGGACGCCCCACTGCCGGGCCGGCCCGGGGGCCGAAGCCGCGGGCCAACCACTCCAACTACAACGGCTACTCCAAGAGGCAGCGGAAGCGTCTGGCCCACGGCAAGGCCAAGGCGGTGCCGGCGCGGTGCAAGAGCCGCGGCAAGCGGCGGCGGCAAGCCCAGCAGGCCCCGCTGCTGCACCCCGCCGAGCCCGAGATCCGGCTGAAGTACATCTCCTGCAAGCGGCTGCGGGCGGACAGCCGGGCCCCCCCCTTTGCCCCCTACGTCCGCGTGGAGCGGCGCGGCGAGTTCACCACCGCCTGCACCGTCGTCAACTCGCCCGGCGAGGAGGCCCGGCTGCAACGGGGACCGGCCGGGCCGGCGCCGCGACCGCGGGCAGCCTTGCCCGCCTCCTCCACCATGCACATGGGGCCCGTGGTGTCGAAGGCGCTGAGCGCCGCTTGCCTGGTCTGCTGCCTGTGCCGCAACCCCGCCAACTACAAGGACCTGGGGGACCTCTGCGGGCCCTACTACCCCGAGGACTGTCTGCCCAAGAAGAAGTCGCGGCTGAAGGAGAAGGCGCGGGCAGAGGGGCCGGGCGAGGACGCCATCCCCCCCGCCGCGGCCGAGCGGGCGCCCCGAGGGACGGAGGGCGGCTGCG